ATATTTACGATGACTTATGACTATACTCGTCGTTGTAAACGGAATTCATTACACGCACGTGCGGCTTTTTGTAGTAGATTTGACGTAGTTTTGGGGGAAAACAACTAAAACACCTCTTCTTTGAATCTAAATCTGTACCAGAAGTGCGTCATGTACCTCGTTGTTTTGAGGTAATTTACATGCATTAAAAAAAGGTGCCGGTCGTTCGTAATTTTCTAGTCTCGAAAATTTGAACACGTTCACCCATAATTAAATAGACAGTAAAATATAATGTTGTATGAATAAAATTTAAATTATATTACACCAGCATTTCAATTGTCCGAATTTGTCTTACCGATTGATCGAGGTCATGTTTCAAATTACGCAGGCCGTGGTTTTTCATATTTAGATGTGGGCTTCGAACGTGAATATCACAAAGTAGGAGGTAAAGCCCTTGTCGACTAGTACCGGCAAAATACATGTATTTGCGTTACGAGCATCGAACGCAACAAAGAAAATTGTGACCCTTGGGTATTTGGGGTCGAATGAAAAGCAGACACAATTTCTTTCAGAATTACTCAAACGACGGCAAAAACAAAATAACTATCGTCTGCAATGGCTCGACCGTAAATTCAAAAGTGCTGTCGACCCTAAAGTGCAATCGGGTGTACGGCACTAAATCGGCGTTTGTATTTCATTGAATTGAAATTGAGAAAATTGAGACAATTTACATTTTCCAACGTTGTCGCTAACAAGAAACTACTCGAATTCCCATTTTTATTTTCCTGTGGTTGCGAGTAGAACGTTTTAGGTGCTTTATTGCATTTGAACATTATTTTGAATGCTTTACATTTATTTCCATATCTCAAATTTAAGACAAACATTTCAAAAAAAGTTGATATAGTTGAAAGACTATTACACACAGACTCACTAGCGCTAGCCTATGTCGTGCATTGTGCAAAATCTAGTGGTATACCAACCTTCGGCGGTGGTTTATTGATTCATTAGATTACATTTTTATTTTATTCCTCTGCAGTCTATCATAGGTCCAGAGTTAGTGACTCATTGCCATGGAAACTGAACGTTCCGGTGCAACCTCGATAGATTTCGAGACCGGTGAAGCGAAGACAAATACTACCACAAAGGATGAGGAAAACGGGGTAAATGGTGTGGTGAGCAAGGATCGTGATGACACCGTGGAGGATTCGCTGACGTGTGGATGGTTGAACATACGCCCGTCTTGGTTACAGCGATTCAATAAGGCGCCATGGTTGGCGTCAGCAATCAGCGCACTTATGTTCGTCCAGGGTCTGACAGTGAATGGATTCGTTTACATCAATCTCTCCACGATAGAGACGCGATTCGGACTTCCTAGCGTCGCGACGGGGTTACTAGTGAGTACGTACGACCTCACTGTAGTACTGCTTATTACGTTTGTGTCTTACTTCGGAGCAACTCGAAATAAAGCCCGGATGTTGGGAATAGGAGCGGTCATCATGGGATGCGGCTCTCTGTTGTGGGCAGTGCCACATTTCACCACGGGACTCTACGAATACGACACGGCATATGAAGACAAGGCAACCCTGTGTTACCCCCAAGCTAATTCGTCTATCTCCACAGATTGTGATGACGGTTGGCATTCGTTGTCGTATTACTTCATTGTGTTTGTATTCGCCCAAATTCTTCACGGAATCGGAGCTTCGCCGATCTACACTGTCGGGTACGCCTACTGTGACGAAAATGTGAGCCATAGGAAATCGTCGTGGTATACCGGTATGTCTGTCTATCTTATAATAACGCGAGACATTTTTATAATGATAGGATATCTGATAATAATAATACGAGGTCTCATAATAATAACACGATATTACGCATGATTTATTAGATAAGGGTATGCAACACTAAGCATCGGCTGAGAACGCCACCAACGGCAAAAACAGTCGATCCTCGGAAAACGTCATTTCTGTAAATACAAATCGCTGTTTGCCGACGTCCGTCGCGAACGGTAGAACGCCGGTAAATGCTATTTTATTCTTGAAACGGAACAGCTTCCCGATGCTCTGTGGCGCAAGCAAGTAAGTGCTTGGCAAAATAAACATAATTCGTCATCAACAAATCATGGTTTAATTTTCAGCATTTGTTGACTCTGATCACTCAGAAGCCAGGACCATGACTGATTTACGACTTCACTGATTAAAATAACTCCACCCTCCCAACAACAAACTAAATTTTGCATCAAGAAATCATGGCCAGTAACATCATGGCTCGTTTCTCATAAATGCAGGAAATCACCCCCTTGCAACGCCGTAGTTGATTGGTTAATAGCGTGGCCTATGACTTAATGAATAGGTGGTGTAATTTGAAATTCACTCTACGAAAACCTGTATGAATTACAACAATTTAATGTCCTTACATTCTTGACCTAAATGTAGTTGCATAATCTTGTCTTATATTATATTATAGAACACGCGTGTCTTAAAATGCAACACAAAAGCTCACATCCTAACACTAGTGTGGATTGCCAATTAAATCATGATAAACGTTATGCTAATTGTAATAACATCATCAGTCAATACAAAACAATACAAAACAATAGTGTTTGTTTCAGAGGATTACCACCAAGATATTTTTCACCGCGTTTATTCGCAGGTATATTGAGTGCGTTCTCCATTTTTGGCCCCACTACTGGTTTCCTGTTAGGTGCTATATTTCTCAGCATATGGACGGATGTTATGTATGCAGATGAGTAAGTACTGACCACTTTGTTAAATGTGGCACAATACTCTCAGATATAAGTGACCACTTTCTCATTTTTTCTGTATACGAAAATTTACATCATCAATTCAATCAAGGCAAGATATTTTTCAAATGTGACTTCTCAAATTATAACCGTGACAAATTTGTTTCCGATTTGAACAATAAATGTTGGCAGCCAAATTATAATTGTGATGAACCGAATCGGGCACTCACGATTTTCTGTGATGCTTTCAGTGTTATTGCACCAAGGCACGCCCCAATTAAAAAATGTAATGTTAATAGCAAATCGTTTTGTAAACCCTGGCTCTCGAAAGGTCTTCTTATTTCAACTAAAACAAAACACAAATTATTTTCTAAAATGAAAAGGTTTCCCAACAATATTCAAGTTGGTAACAAGTACAAGATATACATACCGAAACCTTCTGACAAAACTGCTCAAAAAAGCTAAATAAAAACTATTATTCAGCCAAATTCGACTGGAAATACTAATAAAACCTGGAAAATTATAAATAGCATTTTAAACAATAATATTTCTATGTCTCCAAGACAGGTTATTAAATCCAATACGGGGGAAGTTTTGTCAAAGGATATCGATATTGCACAGAATTTCAATGATTTCTTCACTACTGTTGGACCAGCCCTAGCTGCTCAAATCAATTCTCCTGAACATTTTACAAACTACCTTTCTGATATCATT